AATGGTCGACCGTCTTGGGTGAATGTGAAACAGGTCGACCTCTTTACACAAATGGTCGACCGTTGTTTTTAAATGTGAAACAGGTCGACCTCTTTACAGAAATGGTCGACCAATGATTATAAATGTGAGCACAGGTCGACCTCTTGACAAGAATGGTCGACCGTACTTTTATTAAGGCCAAACAGACGAGTATCCATACTTATTTTACATGGTTTTTGACTTTCCTACGGTATCATAGGTCGACCTTAAGCTTCACGAGGTCGACCTGTGCTCTGCCTTTGGGTATGCCCGCTTTGAGTATGTGGTCGACCACTTGTTCTAGACGATTGAAATCGTAAATTCAGTCACATACATAATTGTATAACAAATCTAATAAACGATAAACATTCAAAATCCAAAATGGAACGATCTCGCAAATACAAAATAAATGTATGGTCCAAATAATGCAACATTGTAACTTAACGACTTCATTTCTTTGCTTTTTTCTTGGAACTCTGTCTCTCTTTGCCTCGTTCCATGCATTCATCTACTACTGCCTTGAAAAGATTTTCTCGTGCACGGTTTTCAAAATGTGTAGCCAGATACCATAGAATCTCCTTTCGAGCCGGTAATTTGTGTTCTTCTCCTATCTGCATTATGCCATGTAAGATTTCGTTACAACTAAAAAAAGTGTAAATTATACTAGTTATTTGTTTGACGATATACTCACCACTCTATCAAGATCCTTGGATCCATAGCGCATCCACTGCATGACGTGCACACCACACTCAGTACTATTCCTTTGTCGTTGAACTGGTAGCTCATCAAAATTGAAATCTCCAAAATTTGGTACTACTACATTGCTCGTGCGCTCTGGTTTCAAAATATCATCCAAAGTGGACAACTACACACAAATAACGAATATTTTAAACTTCTAGCATACTACGTAACGCTTAGTAGTCAGAAAATTATAGGAAACACTTACCAATTTCTTGCATAGTTCTGATTTACGCCTACGATTCGCCTCAATAGTTGAAGGTAGACTGTCAAGCAAAAATGCAGTTTTTTGCTGGACATTGACGAGATACAGAAACCAATGACGTGCTTCATCTTCAAGAACTGGCATAAATATCTAGCAACGAAACACTCACTATATGTTATAAACAGCGAATACAAACAAATGCACTTTCGAAATTTAATGATATAGGGACATTGACTAGACTAACCTTCTGGCATGCACTGACATTCGGCATAAAGTCCACGCCATCATTCATCAACTTGTTACGAATTTGTCTGGTCTTCATGTTAGCGCGTACCATTTTGTGCACCATGTTTTAGTTGAGATGAATTGACATGGTACAATATAAATAACTAGGTTATGACAAATAATTTGACATTACGGCTCTTACCGAAAACATATTTGGAAAATACCACACATTTGGCTCTTTCACATCATGTTTTTCAGACATTGTTAGTGCCCTTGCACACAAATCCACTACCTACCATCCAACAATAAAACACAAAATCATCGTAAATCGTAACATAAATAGTGCACAATTCATACGAAAGTCGTAGTAGTATAGTACTTACTGATGAGCAAACCCAGCTTTTCTCGCTAATGACCGAACTCAAATAATGTCGTTGCAGGTTTTCAGAAAAAAGTCCACAATCATCAAACTGCAAAAATCAAGATAACAGAAATGTCAATTGTTTTTTTGCAACGTACAGGTCGACCTGTACACAGTCAAGGTCGACCTTATTGGACACACGGTCGACCTTATTGGACAACCGGTCGACCACACGTACTAGAAAAACGTCTTACTTGTCCCAATTCTTGTCCCCAACCTTCTCTTTAGTAACAACATAATACAAGTCTTCAACTGGATTTTGAAGATTTTTGGTGAATCCTTCTAGACCCTCCACTTTCATGACCTACAAATCATAGTTAAAATTAAAGTAACATATGAACACAAACACACATTATAGATGAAAATGTAACGTAAACTTACCCCGTGCTTTTCGAAAGGACTCTTAGATTCATCTTCATCGCTATCATCACTAAATAATCCCTTTCTTACAAATTGATCCTTCTGTGGAGTGGTGTAGGAGTCACTTTCATATCGCGGTCTCTTGTAATTAGGAGAGGAACCCTTGCGGCCATTCTTTGTTTCACTCTGTCAAACATATAAACAAAACATATTAGCACTAATGATAGTAATACTAATATCTTCAATCACATATGAATATACTTGGATACCTTTAAAATGTGCTCTTTCAATAAATCGTCTATGCTCTGGTAGCAATTTTCAGAGTCATCATGGTCTTCCTCCTCTTTACCAAAGTCAAATTTCTTTCCTTTACCATTTCTTCCGCCATTCTCCATTCGTTCTGCACTTATATCTTTGATAGCACCTTCTAGCCTCTCAAACCCGTCATGCATCATCCCAGTCATATCTGTCAGTCGAACTGACAAATGCTCGACTTGTGTTTGACACACCACCAGCTTCTCTTGTGTGGCTTTCAACAATTTCATGATTTCACCCAAATCTTGATGCAATTTCTCATCATGCGTCATCGTCTAAACAATTTAAAGAAAAATTAAAATCATAATTCAAGTACAAATTTCTATAATTGACCAAAAAACAAAGACGTGGTCGACCTGACAGAGTATTATGTCGACCTGTAAGACAAATAGTGACTACCACAACTCGTCAGGTCGACCTCGGTTATTCCTAGGTCGACCTATCCAGCAGGAAAATAACAATTACAAGCAAATAGTAAGTTCAAAATTCAACCGAAAAAAGGACAGGTCGACCAGATATCTGGCGCGGTCGACCTTTTCAAGCACAACATAGTCATACAAACAAAGCCAAAGTCGACATTCAGGTTGAATAACCAAAAAAACATATACGGTCGACCTTGAAACTCATTAGGTCGACCGATTGGGTTACCTCGCAAGTACAGAACAAGTGTTGTGGCCTAAATTCAAATACGAAGAATTGTCTCGTCAGGTCGACCTGGTTGACGTCGCGGTCGACCGAATTGGATTCTGCACCCAACAATATATCAAGTTAGCCGGTGGAAATCACGCATTAAAAAAGAAGACGGCGAATGCTACATTAGGTCGACCTCACCTTAGACCTGGTCGACCACTTCCAACACGTACAACAGCAACCACGAACGATCTTCTTCACAAAGGCTCTAAGTCGGAAAAAAACCTAATTCAGACTTGGTGGCGTTGAAGGGGACTCATATTCGTATTTATAGAGATTTAGGACGTGAATGGGTCGACCCAATTCGTTTCCTTGTCCAATTGTGGAACCTTTCTGGTGTTGGAATCCATATCCAATACGGATACGGTCTGAAGGCGGTCGACCTCTTCACAATGCGGTCGACCTATTAGGTGCACAAGGGTCATCCTATGCGATATTTGGGTCGACCTGTCATTCTGTTAGACCACTAAAACGGTCGACCGCAGTTTGTAAGAGGTCGACCGCCTTCAGGAACCCAACATACATGAATTAGCCCATTCGGTCGACCGCAAGTTGTATTCGGTCGACCGAAAAGTCCATGTCACGGTGACATGCATGTCACCGTAGCAAAATCCAAAATTATTACATACTTTTTTCTAATTAGGAACAGGTTATAATAGAATACGTCTCATCTACGTTGACGAAATGGGTGCGTGGCGGCCACGGTTGTATGCGAGAAAATCACTCGTTTGATCGAGTATGCTGTCATGCCTGATCATGTTTTTCCTACCTCCTGAGTGTTGACAGCTCTTTGTAATAGGCGTTTTTGTATTTAATTTAATTTAATATATTAATTAATTAGTCAATAAAAAATTACTTAATTAGTTATTAGAAAATAGTGTTAATATTTTTTTAAGTTGGTGTATAAACGTTTTTTTTTGTAATAGGCGTATGAATCTTTAATTAATTAGATTAGTTAATAGAAAATTAATTAATTAAAAATTGGTTTAAGAATTAATGTTAATAGTACATTAGTTAATAGTAAATTAATTAATTAGTGATTAATTAACAATTAATGTTAATAGTACATTAGTTAATAGAAATTTAATTAATTAGTGCGCATCTAAGTATGATATTGATTAATTAGTGATTAATTAAAAATTAATGTTAATAGTATATTAGTTAATAGAAATTTAATTAATTAGTGCACATCTAAGTATGATATTAATTAATTTGTGATTAATTAACAATTAATGTTAATAGTACATTAGTTAATAGAAATTTAATTAATTAGTGCGCATCTAAGTATGATATTGTGTAAATTTGTAGATAATTAGATATGGATGATGCGGGTGGGAGTGAGTTGCATAGATTCGATGGTAGGGTTGTTGATGCATCAACACGAAGGAAGAGATCACTTAGGGTTGTAAATCAGTCAGAGGCTCCTACTGTAGTTGCTCGTTCGTCATCAGGGGCGTTTGGTTCCCATGGGGGGAACCAGGGTGCTGCATCGAGAGTGGTCTCGGCTGAGTTTGATGAGAACGATAATGATCAGGATATCGAGGTCCCTCCACCTACGCGTGGACATGGACGAGTGCAGGATCGTACGGCAACATCACGTCCTACTATGTATAGGGACCGAGCTGGGCGATTCGTACCACCTGCTCGTGAGGAGACAGAGAGCTCAGGGACTGGACGGAGTAGGGGAGGACGTTCGAGTGGTCCTCCACTGTGGGAGCTTGTTGGTGAGTGTCCTGGTGGACCTACGGATCCTAGCCTCATTAGGAGCTTCCGTGGCCACGCTTCGCACTTTGGACGGGGCTTGGAGATCGAGGGGTCATCAGTTGCTACACCCGTACAGGGGCGGTTGATTATCTTGGGATCTACGTGTTTACTCATGTTGAGTCGGAGGATCTGGTTCAGCAGTCAGGTCTCCAGCACCTGATCTACTCTATGTTCCGCAAGATAGCGATTGACGAGGCTTTGATCTCAGCTTTTGTGGAGAGGTGGCAGCCAGACACGAACACCTTCCACTTGCCTTTTGGAGAAATGACGATCCTCCTCCACGATGTTCAGTACTTACTGCAGATTCCTGTTGAGGGACGACTGATGAGTAGGACTTCTGTGCAGCTTGATCATCCAGAGGTGGGTTTGTGTGCGCTTCTTGGGATGAACTCGGAGCAGTTGAGTGGTCGTTCGGAGGCCCCTGGATTTGGTAGTAAGGGTAAGTGGTACGAGAAGGGTGGTTTTCTTGCGGAGATGGCGTCCAGATACTTGCAGGTTAATGGGACACATGTCACAGAGGCGCAGTCGTACTTGTTGTTGATGTTGGGGTCCACTTTGTTTGTGGACAAGAGTAGAGACAGGGTTCGGCCGGTGGTGACCTATTTTTGGACGAGTTGGAGGAGATAGATCAGTACAGTTGGGCGTCTGGTACACTTGCTTGGTTGTACAGATGCCTTGGTCAAGCGTCTCGTGCTGGTGCCAGGGGGTGGCTGGTTGTCTCACACTTCTGCAGTGTTGGATCTACGAGTACTTTCCGGGTTTCAGGCCATCTCACTTTGAGCCACCTGTCGTTGGACCTGATGAGGCTTGGGCTTCACGATGGATTGGGCAGCCGGCGACTGGTTCTGTGGCTGATCCCAGTGTGAGGTTGGCGTTCTACTGTCAAGCTCTTGACAGCTTGACCCCTTCTGATGTGTTTTGGACACCTTTCCATCAGAGGCCTCATCAGGCAGTGCGTCGCTCTTTGTACACTAGAGTGATTCGGTTCGCTGATATAGGTGAGTTCTATGATCCAGCCCGTTGCCTCCGACAGTTTGGATACCGACAGATGGTACCGCCTCCCCCTTCGCGTCCTCAGCGAGCAGACCGACCAGAGGCACCTGGTGGATATGTCATTCGGATTCCTGAGAGTTTTGATGCTGCATGGGATGCTCTGATATCCCACATGGTTCATATAGACATGTACTCTCAGCCCTGGAGGACGTATCCATATGAGACTACGGTCGACTATCTTGACTGGTTCGTGGCGCACTCTCATTGTAGAGTCCTACAGGATGATGGAGATGCAGATCGACTAGTTGACTCCGCAGCGGTAAGATTTGACCACTAGACCGTTACTCTATTATAAATATACTTAGCGTGAAACTAACAATTGTTATTGTTTTTTTTTTTTTTTTGTGCAGCGTGCTCGAGACCTTTTGTACACGTTTGCACCTGCAGTTCGAGCAGCAGCAGGGACCAAGGAGGAGTTTCTTGAGCATTCTCGACGAGCCTACAGGGCATTGCACGGAGTGCAGGATTTGTGGACTGAGTACTGGGACTCCCCCCCTCCCTGATTTTTAGTTGTTTTGATGTTTAGATCGGATGTTTATGTTTAGACTGCATGTTTGCATATTTATGTTTAGATCGGATGTTTGACTACTTATGTATGTTTGGATCAGATGTTTATGTTTAGACTGCATGTTTCCATGTTTATGTTTAGATCGGATGTTTGACTACTTATGTTTGGATCGGATGTTTGCACACTCATGATTAAAACATCGAGGGTAGATAATGAAATCCATAATGAAATCCATAAGTTCATAATGACACTAGAGCCATTTAAAATACAACTAGAAAAACAACAACATATAAATAGAGTATCGCAACACTATGCATTGCTCCTACCCCTACCCCTTCCCCTAGCTCTTCGGGGGTCTCTCTGCCTGGCTCGCTGCCGACCACCAAGACTCGCAAACAAATTTTGTCCAACCTCGAGAATAGCTTCCCATCCCGCCACATTAGGACTTGCTAGCCCATGCCAAAGTGGATGCAAAGGGGTATGGGAAACTGATCCTGGTTGAAGTACAATCGAATGTAGTGGTTGTTCACATAGTGCAGTGATAAGAACATGGTTGGTGGCAAAGTACCTGGGTCCGCATCAATAGGCAATACAGTATAGGCATCATCGTAGCGGTTGGGTAGTGGACGATTTGCATTATTGACATCAAACACCTGGTATGTGAAGACCATGACTGCGATGTTGTAGATGGTGGCAAACACGAACAAGTCCTCAAAATCCATCCATCGCCCCATTGGTGCGGAACCCGCCTCGAGCCAATTGATGCGGTCAATGTGAGCTAGTGGACCACCATTATACAAGTTCTCGTACTTCCAGAAATGTTGTTGGATTTCTTGGACAATCGTCGATCTCATGAGCAGATAGTGACTATCATCCCCATAAATACAATGAGAAAGTGCCCTAATACCACAATGGCCGTCTGGACTTGGGTTGAAATCGCCTACCAGCAAAGGTCGAACAAACTCTGGAAAAAGCTCATCGATGTTAGGGTAAGAATATTGCCCTGGGGGGCTCTGGGATGAGTAATCTACAAAAATATACCAAACAGTCAAAATTACTTGGACAAAATTTACAAACATAAACCAATTACTGCTAGATGGACTACAATATTTAACCAATTACTCACCTGTATCATGCTCGTCGGATTCACCTCCACTCGATCGGGATCTGCCTCCACTCGATCGGGATCTGCCTCCACTCGATCGCCCCCTGCCTCCACTCGAACCAGGCCCAGTACTCCTCGAACGAGACCGCTCATAATATGAACGAATGCGACTGGTGCTTGTTCGAGGCCGTCCTCTCGGATTCTCATTCACTTCCGGTTCCCTCACATTGTCCTCTGCTGGGTGAAGCTCATCGATGTTAGTGTTCTCGTTGAAGCTCAATTTCATCATTGACTTGTTGTTGACGTGGGGGTTTTTATAATCCAAAGTCCGCCAAAATACATGCAACTCTTGAGCATAGAATTGACGTCCTTCTTCCTTAGCTTGAACAACCTGGCAAGCACACTTGAGCCCATGTGTCATCTGAAAATGACACGCACAACGGTCCTTCAACTCCGCCGCCCCATCTAACATCAGTTTGATTGCCTCACAACTAACGACCCTCCTCAAAAACGTGCACGGAGGCTCAATTGCCCTACTCAGATTGCGGTTAAGTGACTTGTGCAGCTCATTCACCACTTCTAGAAACTGATGTTCCATGTAGTTGTGGTTCTTCGCAAAACAAGTGTCAATCGCTCCTCTACCAGACACAAGGAAACTCTTGAATGAAGAGTGAGATGACACAACTCTATTCCAGCTCGTGTTACCAAGATGAAACACATGGTCCGTGTAGCACTTTGCCCACATTGTCTGACAAGGCAACCACTCACCTCGCACGTAGTCTACCATTTTTATGTTCTTCTGTGTCCAGACCCTCTCAAACTGATTAATCTTTTGAAGAAAACCCTCCTGAGTCCAACTCCATGCAGCTTTGTCGAAATATTTCTTCCATACCGCTTCTGCTACCTCTCTTTTTGAAATTCCACCCAGTAATTGCTCAAACTTTTGCTTCACACAGTTGTTGACGTGCCATAAACATAGTAGGTGGACAGTATGTGGGAGAGGGAAGACCAGGGGCATAGAAGCAAGCAGACCACCTTCTTTGTCTGTCACAATGACATTCGGAACCATATCACCGAGCAACCCTTTAATACATCGCAGCACCCACTCATATGTTTCCTTTGTTTCCTTCTTAATAATTTCACATGCAATGTTGAAATTCTTCTTGACTTGAGTAACCCCAATAATCTCAACCCATGGCCACCATACCTATTCGTCTTGTAGGTCGAGTCAATGATGATGACGTACGGCCATGCATGCAACATCTGAATGGACGTCGGGTGCGCAAAAAACAGATTAGTGAGCACATTATTAGAGTCCTTTTGCAAACAGATATGGTACCCACGTTGTTCAGCTCCATGAAGCGCAAACTGTATCGCATCCATTTCACCCATCTCATCCAATCTGTTCTTGTAATTTATGTTGTACATCTGTTTGATATCATGACTCACACCCCCTTCAGTATTGAGTGTCGTCTTCTGCTGATTTGGTCTCACCCCCGCCTTCCTCATTAATCTTAACCTCTCTTTTTCAGCCTCACTAAACTGTTTGTTGTGTCGGTGATGTTCTGGATACAACACCTTTTCATGGTTGTGAAACCCTCTATTAGCTCCGGTTTCACGACTTGTCACTCCCACTAGGACTCATGTGTTTGGACCATCCTTTTGCCATACTTCCTTAATACATATCTGAAACTGGCAACCAGTACCCTTCGAACTAATATTCCCACGCGTCTCCTTCGTAGGGTCTGGTTTATAAGACTTAACGATCCTACTGCTTCTGTCGCAATACATCCAGAGGGCAGTAACAGGATGTAGTCCAGCAGTATTCGGTTTCCATGCTCCCCTAACAATAAAGAACCCACACTCCTGAGCGATTGCTTTTGCAGCTAACTCCACACTTGCATAATGGATCCCATTCTCAAATTCTGCTGTGTAATCATGATCGGCCGGGAACCACTCTGACATTTTTCCTACAATTACAATATAACACATCAATATTCTTGTGAACCTAAACGCTAATTTCAACTCTTAACCGGTAAATTCAACTCCTAAACTCTAAATTCAACTCCTAAAATCGAATTTTTCCGACGATTTGCAACGAACAGGGTGTGCCGAAAATTTTCGGCGGCCAGAACCTGGCCGGGCCGAAAATTTACGGCGGCCGGAACCTGGCCGGGCCGAAGGAAAACGGTGGCCGGAGCCTCGCCAGGCCGAAAATATTTTTCGGCTCCGCCTGGCTCCGGCCACCGATTTCCGTCGGCCCGGCCAGGTTCCGGCCGCCGGAAATTTTCGGCCCACCCTCTTTTCGTTGCAAATCGTCGGAAAAATTGTTCGAAACTACAAAAAAATTGACGCACCTGCTTAGTGATGATTCATGGATGCGTGTCCGCAGTTTACGTCGAGGATGGGCTTTCCCGATGGTTTTCCGGCGAATTTTCCGGCGATCGTCGATTTTTTCTGATTCAATACGTTTTCTGAAAGTTGAATATGTTGTAGATTGTGAAACTTTTTAACCAAAGATGTACATATATACTTTTTTTTTTTAGTTGGCGGCAAATAGCAATTTGTTTGGCGGCAAATAGCAAGCCCCATCTTTGTGACCTGAGCCAAACCGCATTCATGAAACATCCTTAGTTAATTTGAAAACAAGGACCAATTAATATATTAATCAAACCACGTACGCTCTCCTAAAATACTTGGTATATAATTAATGTAGACTAATAATTAACATTATAACGACAGGACGCTAGAGGTCACATGCATGAATGCTCCAAATCGGCCAGCTAGCTAGCATTCATCGACCGACAGCCAACTAATCTGTATGTAAGGGAAAGTTATATACATAGATGGAATCACAGAAAGATGTTAAACACAATCGCACGAACGAAAACAACACCAAATTTACGTGGTATTCTCAATGAAGATCGTTGAGACTAATCCACGGAGAGGAGCAACCTCTCAAAGTCTATGTTATAGAGATGCAGCCGAGAAACCCTTAGTTACATCAGAGGAGGCTTTTCCACTTATATACATCGCCTCACAACCCTACCAGGGTAACGTAATTAAACATTAATATTGGTTAATTACATTTTGCTACTAGAACTTCTAACACCCTCCCTCAAATTGATGGTGCTGGCGCAACATCAATTTGTGTGCTAAAAACCAGTGACGCGAAGTAGCAACAACCTTGGTTAACAAATCTGTCGTCTGATCTTCAGAAGTAATGTATGCTAAGGTGAGCTGACCTTCAGTAACCAGCTGGCGTATGTAGTGAACATGAACTTCTATATGCTTCGTGCGATCATGAAGAACCGGATTGGTGGCTATTCGAATGGCACTGGTATTATCGGCATATAGACGCATAGGTGAGGAGCATGTAACTCCAAAGTCCGCAAGCAAACGACGAATCCATACCAGCTCAGACGTGACTTCTGACATCGAGCGGTACTCTGCCTCTGTAGAAGATTTCGCCACTCGATCTTGCTTCTTACAACGCCAATAAATAAAAGAAGACCCAACTTTCACACACCAGCCAGACGTGGAACGTCTCGTATCCAGACACCCTGCATAATCAACATCGGCATATGCTTCAAGGACAGAATCTCCTATGGCGGGAAAGAAAAGTCCTACCTCCTGCGTACCACGAAGATAACGAAGTATCCGCATAACTGCAACCAGATGAGAGGAGCGAGGAGCCGCCATAAATTGACTAACCACCTGAACACCATATGAAATGTCAGGACGAGTGTGGGTCAAATAAATTAAGCTCCCAACAAGTCTGCGATAAGTGGACCCGTCAGTTAAGAGATCGCCATCATTTTGGCAAAGCTTTAAGTGTTGTTCCATCGGAGTCGAACACGGTACATAGGAGTCCATGTTCGCAGTTTCGAGTAGATCCACAATATACTACTGTTGACTGACAAATATCCCAGCAGTAGAGCGGTGAACTTCAAGGCCTAAAAAATATGACAGATCACCCAACTCCTTGAGATTAAATGCATCCCGAAGAGTCTGAGTAAGAAATTGAATACCCTAAGTATCATCACCACTGATAACCATGTCGTCAACATAAATAAGTAACACAGTCAACCCATGAGCTGTCCGACGAAGAAACAGGGATGGATCGTTATCACTCTGAGTAAAACCAGCCTGCAGAATCGTACCTTGAAATTTCTCAAACCAGGCACGTCGAGCTTGTTTCAAGCCATAGAGCGATCGACGAAGTAAGCAGACCTTAGATTTATCCCCTGTGCCATAACCAGGAGGACACTCCATATAGATGGTCTCCTTTAAATCCCCATGCAGAAACGCATTTTTGACATCTAGCTGTTTCAAACACCATCCCTTCATTGCTGCCACCGCCAGCAATGTCCGAACTGTCTGCATCTTAGCGACAACACGAGCTCGATACCGCTCAATGGAACCATCCGAGTGCATTTTGATCGTATACAACCACTTGGAGCCAATAATAGACATGCAGGGTTGACGATCAACTATATCCCATGTGTGAGAAGCCTCCAAGGCGCGGGTTTCAACAGCCATGGCATCATCCCAATTTTTGTCACCATGGGCTTGTTTATATGTGGCGGGTACAAATATTGGAGCAGCAGAGAAGGCCAAAAAATCAGAGAGATGTGCAGGACGTTGACCTTTGGTGGCTCGTAACGAGCGGCGCGGAACAAGAGAGGGAGGAGGATCGGGGGAAGCTGGCGGTGAGTCCGGCAGAGACAACGAGGACGAGGAGCTCATGCTAGTAGAGCCTGGGCTGGACACATGCGGGGAGTCCGCACGTAGTGATGGCAAGGACATCGATCTGCTGGAGGGATACGAGGAACCTGGGGAAGACTCATTACTCTGACAGAATCGAAGTTGCAGAGGAAGTTGCAGAAGAGGTTGCAGATGAAGTTGGAATCCTGAAGAGTTGCGGATTGAAGAAGTGAAGCTGGAACGATGTCGTTCTGGATGAAGAGGAGCCGTTGTTAAAGAAGAGAAGAAGACGACGGCGTTCCATGAAGATTGAAGTGAAGTGAAGTAAAGGAAACGGCAGCGTTTGAGTTTATTTCTATTAGCCGTTATTGATCACTGTTTATTTAAAACTATAGCCAATCATGTAAGGACACGTATTGCATTTCTGTTAATTGCAACCGTAGCTATAAAAGCTACAAGGAGCTCAGGTTACAGCTGAGCTTCTCCTCCAAAATCTCTTGTTCCTACAAAGTTTACATGGTATCAGAGCAACCCA